CAGCAATATTATTCCTGAGCAGATTGTATCCATTGCTTACACAACAAAGAGGATTTAGGTGTTCAAATCAGTGAACATCAGAAAATCAGACGATTCTGTCCTCCTCTGCACAGCGTTTTAAGACATCATTTAGCAAATACTCACTGCACAGCAGTCGCTGTGCTTCAGACTGTGTTGGAAGCAAAACCATTCCTATACATCCTACAGGAATGCAGCACTGGATAGCCGCTGGAAAACCAGAGTTTAGTCCCAAAGAAACCTGCTGATGCCAGCCTAGCAGCCACCAAGAGCCAACTAATCTTTGGGCATGTATTAAACCCAGCAGCAAGGGCCAGTTCCAGCATTGCATAAGCTCCACAACTCAAGGCTACATCCTCTCCCTCAGCACCGAGGCACTGAAGTCAGATGGAATTACCCTGCGGACAGAAAGGCCTCCCTGAGCGGCAGAGATTCCTAGAAAGATGCATTTCCAAAACTCCAACCACCCTCCAAGCCTCCGGCTGGCCCCAGTATTGACACGTGGCCAACCAACCACCCGCAGAGCAAAGGGGTGGGAATGTCAGGAGTCCCCATCAAAGCCACCCAGCAGAGCCCACAGCGTCACTCCTCAAGTGCCACCAGCCCGGCAGCCTCAGGGCCACGAGGAGGAGGAACTTGGATTCTTCCCGGAAAAGGGAACACTCAAAACTGATACCAGGTCTGGCAAAGCTTGCACTGAATTCAGCACTACCTTCTTCCCGTTTAAATGGCAAAGCTCTGGATGTCCTGCAGGTTTCCCACACTTCACTCAGCTTCCACACAGATTTCAGTCATCGGCCACTTCGGACTGGGGTTTTTCCAAAGGGTCACAAGTGTTCCTCAGCCCACCCTGAGAACACACAGCCACCACCTCGGCATGAAACCAAGGAGCACCTTCTATCCACATAAAAGGCAGGGAATTCTTAACCTGGAGTTTAGCCCTGTCCACATGGATTACAAATTCCCGACGAGCCGAGATGAAGCAGTTCATGAGGAAGCCCACACTTCTTACTTTGCCCTTGTTTATTTGTGAAGCTTCTTTTAAGTCCCTTTCTGAGCAGCAGCAGCCAAAAAGCAGGGCAGGAAGGGGCTGGGTGACCCCGAATGGGATTGCACAATGGAGCACCTGCTGGAACTGGGGGGTTGTGGGAAAAATTCAGCTGTCAAACACCACCATCCACATGTTCCACGGCAGCATGGCAAAGGGTTTGGGGTTGCTTTGGGTTGTGAGCAACAGGAAATGATCCAGCCCACATGAGAAGAGAAAAACGCACCAACACACCTACAGCAATGACCACCTGGACAATTCCAGGCACCTTTCTCCTTGCTAAGAGCACAAAGAGCCGTTTTCCCGGGATCAAACATGTCCTACAGTGAGCAGGGAACTGGAGCTCTGAGGAGTCCCCAGCCAGCAGGCCCATGGCACTGCTGTCTGTGCAAACTGACTTCTTAGATGAATTCCCAGCAAAACTGGCAGTGATCTTTCCGTCCCAAACCTGAGATCATCCCAGGCTCCAGAAGCAAAACGAGCTCCAAACACCACCGCTAAACAACGTGGTTTACTCCAGAACAAAGCAAGACTTTTCCACCAATAAAAAGTGTTGCCAGTTGGTCTCTTCCAGTTTCTTCTGAACCCTCACGAAAAACTTGTTACAAAAACTTCAATTTTAAAATGAAACCAAGTCCCTTAAACGGGCTCTATTTTTAAACGCTGTATGTACCTCATGCCACTAATTCTTTTTTTTTCTCCCCCTGGAAGCTGAGCCATTTTGAGTCAAGGCCCATAATTTAAAATTTCATTAAAAATGCAAAGAGCTTTAGGACTGCAAACAGCAGAGAGAGCAGGAGGAGACTGTCAGAGGCTCCCTCTCGCCATCGGAGCGTTCCCTGCCTTTCGCTGCACGAGACAAAACGACGTGTGAGACGTGGAAACTGCACCCAACATCTCATCTTTGCTGAATATTGCTGCAGTTTGTACCACTATGTAGGTCACGAGCTGCACATGCCTCAGTCAAGCCCTGAGCTCAGCCTAGTTGGCCATTTTCACCCCTGACAGAAGGCATGGAAACACGAGACAGTTTAACCAAAGCCAGAAGCAGCTCCACCGTTTTTTGTTTGGTTGTTTTTTTTTTTCCCAGCCTCAAATAGTTGAGCCACTTGCTAAACTCAGGAAAGCTCTGAAGACACAGGCAATCCAGGCACTGCTTCCCAAAGTGGACATGAACCAAGGTGCACAATTTCAGAAATACCAAACATTGCAGTGAATCAGAAAACATCCTGGTGGCTGCAGCATCAAGAAATGTCATCCTCATAGAAGAAAGCAGCTAACCCGAACTTTCCTTCTCTCCCATCTGCACAAAAAGGCATCCAGTATTACAGAAAGCAATTAGAAACCCAAATAAATCAGGAATAAACAGCCGAAATAAAGTACTAAAAAGTCTATTTAATGCCTCCACCTTCAAACCCCTTTCTTCTTCTAAATTCAATTTTTTTTTTCCCCCCCAAGAGGTGCATTAAAAAAAACTGGTCATAGAGAGCATCTGATTAGATGAAAAGTAATGTCAATGTGGATTTCAGGGACACACAGGACTATTCTCAGATTGTGCACTGATTTTGAGGAGCTGCTGTTTCCCTTTGCTGAAAATCCTACATTTATCCCCACAAGAGGAATTCTCAACCAACTCCTCAGGAACTGAGAGTTCCAAGCACAATGTCCTGTACTGTTACGTGCACCAGCATCAGTTTTAAAAGGATCTGACACAGCCCAAGGGAGGCAAAGAGGGAATTCTGGCACTCCAGCACCTGCCCCAGCCTGGCTCTGGCACTCAGGTGTTCCTGCAAGGCCTGGGCAGAATCAGCCACGACAGAAACGCAAAGACCACAAATCTTTGTCCACCCGGGCCGCCTCAAAGATGGGTGGAAGGAAAGGGCAGCTCACAGGCTGGAGATCAGGCACCTCACCTGGATCCACCATCATTCCTTTGATCTCCACCTCCCAAAGCCCAGGTGATCAATCACCAGCTACTGAGGATTTCGGAGCCACCACCACTGAACTGAAAAAATTCAACTTCCACTTGGGCAGCAGCATCAGCCTCCAAGCAAAGCCATGGCACTGTAATGGCAGAAGTCTCCATTCATTAATTATCTGTTTAAAATGCACAGCTATAAAAAATAAGGTCTGAGTATAAGCTTATTCCTAAAATATTTTTGGAAAAAGAAAAAACCAAATCACTTTTTCTACACTTTTCATTGCAGAACTGCAGCCAGCTGCTCCTTTTAGAAAAGCCAGCCTGAGCCCACTCTAGTGGCCTGTTTATAACACAAAATTCTAAGAATAAAATTAATGAGACAAGGAGAAGAAAAAAAAAAAAGGCAAGAAAATAAGCAATAAATTCCATTTGACACACCATTAGCAGCCTTGAGCAAGAAAATCAGGGTTCTCCATTCACCAGTTTTCTTGCTGGGAGCACATGACCAGTTAAAAAGATCAGCTTGGGCCAAAAACACCTCTCCCTACCACCACTGGCACATCTGGGCAAAGATACCTGAAACACCAAACTCTTCCAACTGGGAAGCCAAAAGCTCTTGGTTTTGCCACCACTTCACAGTCTTTTTTTTCATAACCCCGGTGGTCAAGTGCAAACACTTCAAAATTCAGGCCTAAAATTATATTTATGGCAGACAGAGTGCAGGAATTACGTACCAGAGCTGCTGCTTTGTAACCCAGAGCTCAGCAGCCACTTCGCTGAAGTCCTGAACCTTTCAGGCTGTTTTAAAGCCACTAAAATTTTAGGCCAAGGCTCCATGGAACACCAAGAGTTCTATGCTGGTTCCAGCTGTTATCAGCTTTGCTCCTGCCCAAGAACTGGATTTATTTGGAGAACTTGCTCGGACACGAGTGCAATCACTCCAAAACCCAGCAAATTTCCCCCTGCTCCTGCTGCAGAACAGGAAGATCTCTCTGCAAGGCTAAGCCCAACACTCAACACTACTGTCAACATTCATTTTTCCAACTTCCAAGCGAGGTTTTTGCTCCAAAATCCCTCCCACCCAGCCCTGATCTTTGTCCACGGCCACAGCAGAGCCCCCACACACCATTAACCCCGCAAGGCATTCCAAGCCGAACATCTGCCTGCCGCCGCTCCAGCACATCTGCTCCAAAGGCCACCAGAACTACACCCCGGGTTTTGCCTCATTAGCCGTAATTGCTCGCTAATTACTTATTCCAAGAGTAAGTATCCTACACAATCCTCCTCGACGACGACGAGACCCGATGCGCTCCCCGCGCCTGTGACACATCCACCAGGAAAACAAAACGGTGGGGTTTTTTGTGGTTTGGGTTTTGTTTTTTTTTTTTAATTTGGAAGCAGCGATTGCCACCTCTTGCCGTGGGGGAGCCTCGCAGCATCCTAAGGTACAGCTCTGCCCCAGCGAAGGGCTGGAAATCAGGGCAGAGGACAAGAGCAACCCGAGGAAAAAAGCCACAGGCCTTGGGGCCACGATTATACTCGCAATCCGAGCTGCTAAATGAAAATAATAATAAATAAATAAATAAATAATAAATAATAAAGCGCCGCGGGCCCGAGTCATGGCGGGACGGGCACATTTAAGGGCCCAAAAAGCCACCCCCGGCCGGAGATCGGAGGCTGCGGGGCCGGGTGGGGGGCAGAGCTCGGGGAGGCCGGGAGGGTGGGGAGGGTGTGGGGGCCAGCAAGGAGCGCTGGCGTTAATCCTGGAGCTCCGTTAATCTGCCGGGCCCGGACAAAAGGCGGCCGAGGCGGCGGCGGCGGCAGGGAGGGAGGGAAGGAGGGAGGGAGGGCGCGGCGGCCCGGGCGAGCCCCGGCGGAGCGGCCGCGGGGCAGCGCGTTAGGTAACGCCGCGCCGGGGTCTGATGCAATCGCCGGGGACGTGCGGGGGGAAAAGAGCAAAGGAGCAGTGTGTGGGGGGAGGGGGGGAGAGAGACAGAGAGAGGAAGAGGATACAGGTCAGGTCCAGGTCGAAGCCATCCTCCTGGTATCGCCTTTTGTTCCTGCTGACGATCTCTTTGATGATGGCGGTCATGTCTGGCAGCCGGGGGCCGCTCCGGGGCAGCGCGCAGGGCCCGGGCGGCGGCCGAGAGGCACCACCGGGCGGCCCCGGGCGCGGATGCTCCTCCGCCGGCTCAGCCCCGGGCGGGCCCGGCTCCTGCCGGCGGCGGCGGCACCGGCCGCTGCTGCTGCTACTGCTGCCGCCGCTGCTGCTGCTGCTGCTGCTCCCTCCTCCTCCTCCTTCTCCTCCTCCTCCCCCGAGCGCGTCGGGAGCCGCGCCGAGCCCCTGCGGGCGGTGCCGCCGCCGCCGCCGTGTTTGGGGCGAGCGCGGCGGCGACGGCGGGGGGAGCAGCTCTGCGGCGCTCCGGGCCCCGGCAATGGTGACAGCGGGCGCGGGGCGCGCCCCACACCACCCCACACCGCCCACCGGAGCCGGCTCCCGTTTCCCACCACCCCAACAACCCCCTCACCCCGCCCCGGGAACTGGCCGATCGGTCGCTCGCTCGCTCCTTTCGGCGCTTTTTTTTTTCTTTGCTTTTTTTCCCCTTTTTTTTTCCCTTCTCTCCCCTCCTCCTCCTCCTCCCCTGGCGGCGGCGGCGGCGGCAGCAGCAGCAACAGCGGCGGCGATTCCCTCAGGCCGCGCTCATCCCCCCGGCCCGCAGCGCTCGCCGGCGCGGGGCTCCCATCATGGCCGCGGCTTCCGAGAGGGACGGCGGGCGGCGCCGCCACGCCCACCGCGACGCGTCCGCCGGCAGCGACAAGTAGTCCCTCCTTCTCCGGGGATCCGCCAGCGGGGGAGCGGAGAGCGGGGCGGGTGGGGAGGGGGGGAGAGGCTCGCTGCGAGCGCGCCGCCCGTACCCCTCAGCCCGCCGGCACCCCCCTCGCCCCTCCGGGGGCGAGGGGGTGCCGGCAGGCGGAGGGGTACGGGCGGTGAAGTGAGGCTCGGTGGTTGTGCTGCGGCCCGCGGGTCACGTGGGCGCTCGCGGCGGCGCCTCCCCCCGCGGGCGGAAGTGGCCGTGAGGGGACGGGGCGGCCGCGGAGCTCCCTCAGAGCTCCTCAGCCCCCTCAGCCCCCTCAGGCCCTCAGAGCCACCTCAGAGCCCTTCTCAGGGCGCCCCGAAACCCCCGCCGAGCTCCCCAGCTCTCCGAGCCGCCCCCGCGTCGAGCGGAGGGGAAGAGCGGTCTCGGTGCGGCCCCCGGTGAGGGAGGGCTGGGTAGGGGGTGAGGGGGGAAAGTGTGAGGGGTGAGCCCGGCGGGTTGAGGTGGGGGGGTCTCGGTGTGTCCTCCGCTGTCGCCCCGCGGCGGGTTTGGCGAGGAGCGGAGCCGCGGTGAGCGAGCGCCGATCGCCCCCTGCGGCCACCGGGAACGGAGGGAGGGAGGGAGGGGGTTTGGGGCCACCTGCTGCCCTCGGATCGTTGAGGTGGGAAAAGCCCTCCCAGACCGTGGAGTCCCCCCCGTGCCCGATGCCCACCTTGTCCCCCAGTGCCCAGAGCACTGAGTGCCACGGCCAGGCCTGCCCTGGGCACCTCCAGGGCTGGGCACTCCAACCCTCCCTGCCAAGGCCTGACCGCCCTTTCCAGCAAGAAATTCCTCCTGATGTCCTCGGGACAATCCAGGCATGGGCACAGGGACGGGACAGTCCCCCCGGGTCGTGCCGGCTGGCTCAGCCCCCCTGGATGTGCTGTTTCCATGGAGTTTCTGTCCCATTCCATCCCCCTTCCCACATGGATGGCAATTATCCTGGCAGGGGGAAAGCACTGTCTATAAATCTCTAAATCAGCCTTTAAACCCCAGCCTACAAGGTTCTTCACAGTCTAAGCTGAGAACTCCTGCAAGTCTTTGGGAATTACCCGGTTTTTGGGGGAAAACGACCATCAGGAAACCTGGTGCAGCCTGAGCTTCTGGATATCAGCACTGGCTGCAGCCTGGGACCAGTTTCCATCTTTCTCACTGTTTGGCAGTGGGATCTTTTGTGAGAGATTTTTTTTTTCCCCTCTGCTGTGCAGAGAGGTGAGATATTGGGTTCCTGAGACAATAAAAACTAAAATTTGAAGGCAGCTTGGGATGTAGGATCTCTGCAAAGCATCAGGAGTGGGATCTGTTGGAGATCAGCATCTGCCCCAGCTGCTGAGGGATCAGGAAGGAGCTTGGCAGATGATACCTTTGGGAAAAATGGGATTACCAGGACAATCCACGTGTAAATTTAGCTCCCTCAAAAACAGTCTTCATGTCATTCCATTGCTGGGTAGTAAGGTGAGGGATATCCCATGGAGGCCAAGGATAACACACCTTGGAAAAGGAAATCTTTACAGGGTGGTTGGTTGTTTTATTAAAAAAAAAAAATCTGCAAAGAAGAAAAAAACAAGAGGAAAATTGAACCACTTTTTGTCCAACCAGAAAAGAGACACCACAGAAAGGAGTGTCCCAAGAGGACGAGGAGAATCCATGCACCCCTTTTTCCACGAAAAGCAGGTGATGTAAACCAGGTGTCTCCCAAAAAAACCAGCTCTGTAAGTCCACCTCGAATGTTTTTTGGGCTGGCAGGGGAAAGGCACCTCCCTGAAGACAGTCTGTGTATAAATAATGAATGTCAATAATAACCAAAAATCAATCAATAAATAGTTGCTTCAGTGACTTGCTCCGCCTTTAAACACTTTTCAGAGGTGCTGGGGTCTGGCAGCAGATGCTGGAGCAGGAAAAGGAACAGGGAGAAGGGGGGGAAAAAAAGCTCAGCTTTGCCTTTAAGGGCTGAAAATAAACTGGAACATAAGGTGGAGGGATTTCCTGGGCTGCTGCAGCCTCCAGCCTTTGCAAACGCTGTATTATATAATTCCTTTCATAGACGTATCAAGCTGCATCTTAAGATCTTCTGCCACCATTATTCCCACCGGGAAGCTGTTCCCAGAACCTTCTGCTGCTTTTCAGGCTAAATATATTTGGGACTGGTCGGTGCCCATTGATTCCTGTGCCAGCACTGGCCTGAAATAGCTCCTGCTCTGGGGCACTCTGTGCTCCCACAGGCACGAACATCCCCTCGTTGTGCTCAGCTCTGCCCAGATCCCCTCGAATTCCAGGCTGTCCCCTTCCCAGTGGCTGCATCCCGGGGCCTCCAGCTTACCTGCTCCCAGGAGTTTTCCTGCTACAGTCTCGTGGAGTCCAACCAGCTCAGCCACACGTTTCACTGGAAAACCCAACGGCTCCAAACCCAAAATCGGTCAAACTGTGGCTGCCCCGGCCCTGGAAGTGTTCCAGGACAGGTTGGAGCGACCTGGGCTAGTGGAAGGTGGAACGGGATGGGCTTTAAGGCTCCTTCCAATGCCTGAGCAGCCTTTCCAGGAAGAAATTCCTCCTGCTGTCCAACCTGACCCTGCCCTGGCGCAGCCCGAGGCCGTTTCCTCTCATCCTGTCCCTTGTTCCCTGCAAAACACGGACACAAGAGCAGAAGGGCTGAAGGGGAATTGCCAAAACTTCGGGTTAATTACAGGAATTACAGAGATCCTGTTATTTTAACCTTTTCCTGGATGTTTTTCTGTTACTGTGTATATATAAAATTATTCATATATGTCATATATATCTATCATATATATAATATACATGCTGTATTTATAACATGTTATCTCTATATATTATACATATATAGTATTTATGTGTATGTAATATATACTAATATATAATGTATAATATATAACATAGTAATAGTAATATAGTATATAATAAACAGTATATATATACATATATATACATATACACAATATATAGTAATATATACACATTGCTTATCTATGATTTGTTATATATATAAAAGATAACTTTCTATATAATATGTAAAAATATATCTACGTTTCTTTCTATATAACATATAAAAAGATATTTATTTACACTTATGTATATATATGTATATATAAAATAAGTGATATATAAAAGATATACTATATATACACATATATCTCTATGTTGAGCATCTGTTATATATATGTTATGTCATATATACGTTATTATTTTAGACGCGTTTCACACATCAGCAGAGAGACTGAAGTCCCTGCTCTCATTACGGCTGAAGTGGGGCCGCCGTGCCCGCGGTGCGCGTCGGTGAAGGCGCGGTGAATCCTTCCCTTCCGCTGACGCTCGTTCCGGCCGATCCGTCCCATCCCGATCCCTCTCCAGGCTGGAGCTCCCGATCGTCCCTGGGGCGGAACGTTCGCGCAGGCGGCGGCGGGCGGAACGTTCGTGTAGGGGCGGCGAGCGCCGGCCGGCCCGAGGAAGCGCGGGACGCGCCGCGGCCGCTGCCGGGCCCTCGGTGCCGCCGGCGGCTCCTTCTGCTCCTTCTCCTCCTCCTTCTCCTCCTTCCCTTTCTCCTTCTCCTCCTCCTCCTCCTCCTCCCCCGCCGGGCCCGCCCCGTGTCCCGCAGCGCGAGTGACCCGCGGGGCCCACGGTGAGTGCGGGCCGGGGGCGCGGCCGCGGGGCGGGGGAAGGTCACGGGCGGGCCGGGCCGGGCCGGCCCTCACGGCGCCCCCGCGGGGGGGGTGACGGGCCCGGGGGGGGATCCACGGCATGGGGGTGACATCGCCGGGCCCGGCACAGCCAGGGGGGGTTCCCGGCAGTGCCTCAGCATTCCCCGGGAGCGGCACGACCGCTGTGCTTTCGGTTTCCCTTTGGCGCCCCAGCGAACCGTCCTGCCCGCTGAGGAAATGAACGCTCGGGTCCTGCTGGATTTGCCTTCCGTTTGTTATCAGGGCTCTGCTCAGCGAGGCCGTGCCCCGGGTTATCTCCTGTTACAGCTCTTCCTCACGCTTGCTGCTCAGGGCACGGGTTGCATAAGGAGGAGGTTGTTCCTTCCGTGGGTTTTTGGGAAGGGTTTTTCCTCGTTCACTGACACAGAGCCCTTTCATTTTAATGGATCAGGCTGAGGAGGGCACGCAGAGCCCTCCAGCCCGGCATGACTTGCTTAAATCCCAAAGCAGGCAAATTTAATTTGGTTCCCAGGCAGGTGGGCACAGCGACAGGCTGGATTTTTAACTGCCTGGACAGGGAGGGGAGCTTTAAAAAAACCCAAACCCAGTGATTCCAGTGATCCCGCTGGGATACAGGAGCCTGGGGCTGATGTCTATCAAGTGGTGCTTCTCCTGAGCCCAATCCCAATGGAATTCCAGATTCCAGAGTCAGTGGTTATGCAG